GAGTAGATTGCATTGATTTGGAAGCTCAACGAAAAGGGAAGGCTCAAGTCTCAGAGTGATTGTTCGGTTATTTGAGGCAAGTGGATTTCTAAACCCTTGTTAAGCGTATGGAATTCGTGTATTTCCTTGTGGTATATGTTTGGGAGTAATGGAAATTGGTGATGGATTGACTTGTCCATGTTGAATAATTCTAATGATGGAAAAAAGGTATAAAAAGGCTTGTTGTTTAATTGTTGATGTTGTGTCACGATTGTATTGTTGTGAATTGTACATTGCTATTAAATTGGCCATCTCTTCATTATTTGTGTGAACATGTCATTTGCATTGTTCTGAGACATGATTGTGATAAGTGTTATGTGATAAGATGATGTACCATTTCGAGGGACGTATCGCGCGCCGTGATGGATACTATATTTCTAGGGACGTATCGCGCACCGCGATGGTTACTATTATCGAGGATCGTATTGCGCGCCGCGATGGATGCATGGACAGATATGTCCCCTATGGGTCCCAGACTGAGAGACAGTGGGTGTGTATCGTTAGGTCAGACATGCATCACTATACTTGACATTGCATTTCATTGCATTGCACATTTTTATCATTGATGAACTTGATCTTGTGTGTTGCTGATCTTGTGAGTGCCTTTGTGTAAAACTTGTTATCGATGGATATTGAGTGTTATTGAGAATATATAATCTGTTATTGATGTTGAGTTGTATGCTTTGTAAACTGCGAACTATTAGGTTGGGCTAGTTTTATTCAGGTTGTAGTAGTGTAGGTTAGAATGGGGTGTAAGAAGTACCTGTATAGTGTTCCCTTAGCTTGTGTTTAGAGGTTTGCTTGTTGAGTACCGTGTGGTTTGGTACTCACCCCTTGCTTCTATAATCTTTTGTAGGTTACGAGCCCGAATCTTCGTGATACCTTCCATTCTCTTCGTTTTTGAGGCTTTCTGTGGAGATTTGAGAGGTAGTTGTTTGTCATCTCAGCGAACCTCTTGCTCATGGTTATGATTTTGTTTTTACTTGAAAGACAACGTCATTTGAGACTTGCATATTTTATTTCAATTCTAGTATTTACATTAGAGGCTTGTGCACGTGACAACCAGGTTTTGGGGATTGAACTACGTTGACTTGTTTTCGTAATAGTAATTGTTATTGAACTTTGTTTTACTTCCGCACTTTATCGAAATGATTGGGTTTTAGGCTGACTTGTCTTGGTGGGATACGACGAGTGCCATCACATCCATTTTTGGGTCGTGACATCCATGCCCTTCGTTATACTTTGCGTCCATCTCAGTCCCTGCCGTCCAATTATCGGTACACACATACCCCTCTCACTAACGGCCCCCTCATTCTGTACACGTGTCTAAATCCTAAGCAACTACCCAGTTGACCATTGCTTTTAACCCATAAACTAATAACCCGCCCCATAAATCCAATACCCACCCGATTCCCTCTAAAATCGTCATTTTCATCTTTCTTCACGGTTCACACTCTAAAGTTTTCTCAATCATAAAATATGATAGATTGTAATTAGCTCTTGCACATGCTTTAGATTCTATTTATTTTAATTTGATAAAAAAAATCAAAAAAAACTTCAAGCTGGGAAAAATATATTTATAAGTAAATTTAAGCAATAGATCTTAAATTTATGAAAATGGTGAATGATATATTTTCTTGCAAAAGCTGTTTTTACTTTTATATTTGATGATTATGGTGAAGGAGTATACGTCAAAGAAGAAGAATAGAAAAGGGGTAGGGGCTGAAGAAGAAGAGAAAAAAGATGGGGTGGGGCCGAAAAAGAAGAGAGAAGAGGTGTGGGTGGGGTGGGGTGGGCCGAAGAAGATAGGTTTTGAGATTTTTTATTTATTTATTATTATTATTATTATTATTATTATTTTGTCTTAGAAAATTGTTAAGTTTTAAATAAAAATATTGCATTCGCTTTAATATGCGTGTGGTCACACATTTGTCCAACTCAGCCATTTTAATGTCACATAAGCTCGATTAATGATTAGAGGGGTTTAGAAAATAGAGTTTCATCGAGTTTAAGGGTTCATTTGGCAAAGGGATGAGTAGATCAAGGGTTCCACTGACAAACGAAGCCAAGTATATGGGCCTCTCATGTTGTGGTATCATTAAGCCAGAAATTACTCATTAGTCAATGATACTATAATTCTGAACGAGAAACCTTAATGATACCATAATATATATATATATACTCTTATAGTATCATTGACTAATGAGTAATTTATGTACAAGAAACCTTAATGATACCACAACAATACAAATATACTCTTATAATATCAATGACTATTAAGTAATTTCTGAACAAGAAACTTTAATGATAACAATACAGTATATATGATACTGATTTAGTATCAGTTAAGTGAAAATTATCAGCTTTAATGATATCAATATAGTATATGATACTGATTTAGTATCAGTTAAACGAAAATTATCAGCCTTAATAAATGAAAGGTATGGGCTGTAATTACTTTGAATTTGGATATGAATTTGTAATTATTTTGAATTTTATGGTCTATTTATGTAGTTTTCCCTTTCTTTTTTTAAGGGGGCAGGGGGGTCCTTTGGGCCCATTTGGCTACTTGGACCTGCTGTCTTAAAAAAATTGGGCTCTGGTCCATTTTTGTTCCTAAAAATTCCTGTATACGCTGAATTTCTGTATACTAAGTGTATATAGCCCCTGCAACCTGTTTTAATTCTTTGAATTTCTGTATCAAATGTATACAACCCACTTTTGGGCTTCTTGGAGGCCTGTAATTTAATTTTCCAGCTCTGTAATATTGGTTTCAATTTGAAATTCACATTTTCGCCTTCTATTTTTTTTATTTTTTGAACTCGATAATGAAGAGGGTGACTCGGAAGAAGCTTCGGGCCTAAGTGGCCCATTCGATAATGCGGAGGAGAAAGGATTTGAGTTCAACTTGGATTCCATGCGAATTCACATGATACCAAAAAAACTAAAGGGAAACAAATTAGTCAAAGGAAAGTGACATGAAACAAATAATAAACTAGAGAAAGAAACTAAAATAGAATAAATGAAGCTATCATTCAACCACTTGAATTGGCCAAGGCAAAGAATATGCATATACGAACAAGATAACACTCACAATAAGCTTCACTCAAAACATTTAAACGATGAAAGTAAGACAATCGTTATGTCCTTATGATAGCAAAAGCAAGAATTAAAATGGTGAAGTTCAAAAGAGGCAGTGAACACTTGTGCCATTTAAACCTAAATATGACTATTGAACAATTAATTCAAGACATATATATTCACTTAAGTAACATGAGAACATGCTGAAATCATCTAAACTTAAGTAACATCAAGAGAGATACTTATACATTCAAAGCACTTTAGCTCTTTTCCTACATAGACAATACAAAACTTAATTTGCTAGCTAAGCCCACCACAGTAACTAAAATAACTGGAAAAAGACCTTCATAAGCAAATAAGTAAAATGACTAAAAATCTCTTCACATAGATAAGATTTGAACAATTAAATCAAAGCAGCAATCAAAGTTGATCACGAAAAACTTCTACATAACCACACATATCATTTATGCTATATCAATTGGACACCACATGTATTTAACTTCCAAAAAAAACATGCTTTAAAGAGGAAGATCGAGTACACAAAACAACCCATAATTGTAGAGTATGAGACCCGACTACTATATTCCTAACAAACTAGATTTCGAGTTAACTAATACGCCAAATCCTGACCTTGCCCGCCGGCCGCGTGTCCACTTTGCGGTTCTCGCAAACTACATAGTGCTCAGAAAAAATGGGCATCAGTTTTAGAACATTACTTGGATTGACGAACGGTAAAAAACGATTGAAAGAAGACTTCAAGGTCTTTCATTTGGTTATATTAAGCCACAAAACTCTTTATATGTTAGAGGATATGATTGATTGTAGTTGACCCTTAAATGAACTTACATGAAAAAACTTAATTGTTAGAGAACCTCTCGACTTGACTTTGTGCTAAAGGTTCATTATGACTTGAACTCACATCCAAAGCGTTTCCAATACTTAAGAATGAAGCTTAACATATACTCCCTCTGTCCAACAAAAGTTGTCCACTATTTACTTGACACACCCCTTAAGAAATAAATAATAGGGGTAATATTACTATATTCTCCTTTGAATTTATTACTCCCTCCGTTTAAAAAAGAATGGTCTCCTTTCCTTTTTAGTCTGTTTAAAAAAGAATGACTCCTTTCCTTTTTTGGTAACATTTTACTTTCAACTTTCCACGTGGCATGTTTAAAACCACAAGATTAAAGGGCAATTTTGTACATTTGACATAACTTTAATTTAGGGCCACAAGATTCAAAAATCTTCTTTATTTTCTTAAACTCCGTGCCAAGTCAAACTAGGTCACTCTTTGTGAAATGGAGGGAGTAAATTTTATGCTTTGAAAAATGTGTTAGATCATAAATAATATTTAATACCAAGGGTAAAATAGATACAAAAGGTAAATTATCTCTTGATTTTCTAAATTTGACAAGTATTGTTGGACATCTATTTTTAGTATAATGGACAACTATTGTTGAACAGAAGGAGAATGAACAAGTAGTATATATATCACCTGACCCAAATTGATACACTTACGACAATCGATTCAGATTCTAAGAGTAGAGTTACCAAGTGTTACACTTGTGAATTCTCTCTTAGAATTAATTGCTTAAAGAGTCCAACAAGTCCCAACAAACACCTAAAAATAACTTTAACTAGTCGAGAAGAAACAAACATTCTAATTTCAAGACTCATCCTCTTAAAATGAAATAGTTTAAATGCTTGAGTTCTTCTAGTCTTGGTATAAAAAAGGAATTGGTCGGTGCATTGATTATATTGGGTGGCTTGTGTTTTGATTTCATTCAGGTTTTAGATTAGTGTTTTACCTACTATTGAAAATTTCAAATTGTCATTTCATCAATTCTCTTGATCATCATCAAGAAATGTAAAATCTAAATATACTCTTTTGCACCTCTAACTTAATCACTTTAAAAATTAAACATAATATTACAAGATGAAAAAAAAAAAAAAGAAGTCTTATTTAACCGGAGAGGACTTCCATGCACGTAATTGTTATGGCATTTTCCTCCTCTTGTCCATATAAAGCTAGTTAGGATATTTGATCGTTGCTTTCAAAAAGAGATTATATTATACATGCACTATCTTCTGTAGCTAGCTCTAATAAAGATGGAGGGGAAGTCTAGGTTCCATAATCACAGATATAGGCTTTTTTGGGTGTGTAGACAATCCATACATCTCCTCCATGCTTATATCTTCTGGCCTCATATCTCCTGTTAATTTCCAATTGAATCCATGCAACAAGTTAGCCATTGTTGTTCGAACAACCTTCATACCAAGGCTATACCCCGGGCACCTCCTCCTTCCTGAACCAAATGGCAACAATGCAAAATTTTGTCCTGTCATGTCTATGTTATTTTCTATGAATCTTTCAGGAATGAACTCTTCTGCCCTCTCCCAATACTTTGAATTTCTTCCTATAGACCACGCGTTTACATAAACAATTGTCCCTTTTGGTATGTCATAACCAGCAACTTTACAATCCTCAATGGAGTAATGAGGAGGAAGCAATGCACATAAAGGATGAAGTCTAAATGACTCTTTGATTATGGCATCTATATAAGGTAGCTTAGAAAAGTCTTCTTCTTCTACCCATCGTTCTTTTCCAATGGCTCTGTCAAGTTCTTGGCGTGCCTTGTCGATGATGTTTGGTCTCCTCAAAAGTTCTTGAAATGTCCATTCTATCGTTGCTGCTGAAGTATCTGTTGCACCAGCTAGCAAATTCTGCCATTGATATATAGCAAAAATTACCAAGTATCAACAACAAATTAAGAAAATATTCTACTTGTAACGGAAATAACTGAACTTACATGCATTAGTCCCATCATGCGATCAGAAGTAAGCTGAACATTAAGATTAGGGTCATCAGAAAGGTGCAACAGAGCATCAACCATGTCCTTTGGAACAAAATCCCCTGTTGTTTGCATCTTTGTTGCGTTGTGATCGTCAATTACATATTTGTAAAATTGAGTGAAATTCTTCCCTAATGCCTTCATTCGCCTTACGTATCCTTGCAAGTCAAACCAACTAAACAAAGGTATCCAATCTCCAAGATTCATCACCCCACCTAGAACAAGCCACTCATCCAACATCCATTGCAGTCTTTCAAGTGTTGCTATTGAAGTATCTGAGTTTGACTGATCACTACAATATTTGTCACTCATAGCCATTCTGCTTATAGTGCGAAGTGTAAATCTAGGTAAATGGTCTTTAAGCAAAATTGGTTTTCCTGAATGAGGAAAAAGACGAGAAATCAAAGTTCGCCCTTCCTCAACACGGATATACTCTAATGAATCAAGCCTCTTGGGACTAAATATCTCAGTTAGGTAAATTTTTCTAGCTTGACGCCAATATGCACCGTAAGGTGCCCATAGCATGTCTGAGTAGTTAAAACTAGTGTACTTACCAGCGGCTAATGGAGGGCGAGATGCAAAGATAGCATCATGTGTTTTCAATATCTCTTTAGCCATTTCTGGAGATGATGCTACCAAAACAGGCTTCGAACCGAATTTTAGTAGCATTAAATCTCCATATTTTTGAGAAAGATGGTGAAAAGACACATGTGGGAGTGAACCAAGGAGGTTCAAATTGCCAATAATTGGCCATGGCTTTGGACCTGGTGGTAATTTCCTTTTCGGATGGTTGAATATTTTTAAGACAAAAGCTAATGCCAGTAGCCATGACCCAAACACTATGAAAACCCAAGAGATCTCCATCTTTGATAAGAAGTGACTGAAGTAGTTGAATAGATATAATAATTCAAGAATGCTTCAGAAATATTTATAGGACAATTCTGCCACCATATATTATTACTCCCTCTATTGCATATAAACTCAATTTATATTTCATATGTCTTATATTAGTTGATCATCTTACTAAAAATAGTTGTCCTTTACAACTAATTCTTTTTAAAAGTGTTCACATTTGTTTGTAAAATTTTCAATGAGTTTTTTAAGGGGTGAATTAGTAAAATTATCTTCTTATTTATGATTTTTGAATATGCGTATAAAAAGGAAAATGATTAGCTAATTTGAGATGGGGAGAGTATTTTTCTAGGAGATAAATTGCACTACTTACAAAATTATATTTATGATTTCACAAAGAGCAATAGTAAAAAATATGACTTAAATTATGTCCTTAAATATTTTTCTTAATAAATGTGCATTGATTCACAAATTCATTTTGAGAAAAGAGCTAAGAAATTAATTTGTCAATATAGAGTTTAATTTGTGCACAACTCTTTTATGTCACTTTGGAAAGTAAGCATTTGTTTAGGCTATTAAGTGTTAACTATGATTTACTCATTAGAGAAAAGACTATTTAAGAATTGAAGAAAATTTTGATGGTTTTCATATATTATGATTTTATTTTATTTTTGCCATTTTGGAATTGATAATCCTAAATTGTAAGTCCCTTTTTTCTTTGCGGAAAATAATTTTTGGACGGTTACACTTTCAACTTTGGCTTGCCTTACTTTCAACTAGTATACGTGCCCGCACGTTGCGCGGTTAATTGATAAATGTAATCATAAATATTAATTTATTGACAATTTAAAATTTTAACTTATTAAAAGATAATATTAAAAATTTATTTGAGAATGTTAACATTAATTATCTTGATGTGTTATAATAGAATATTTATGTAAATAAATCAATATATAAGCTTAGTTCATTATCTAAATTTGAAAATAATAATATTTTATCATTATTTAATTTATTTAAAATGATAGATACTATCACTCTATCCATATTATCCTATTGTTAATTAAAACAATAAAGATATAAGAAAATTTAATAGTTAGAATTAAAATAAAATATAACTAAGAAAAGTCCTATCAAAATACTAAGCATACAAAAAACGTTTTAATCACTTGAATATCAAAATGTAGGCATGTTATTCACAATTTTATATTTTGTCTTTTAATTTTTTCTTAAAGTCATACATCCATTATGTAATATTTAAACTAAAATAAAATATAACTAAGAAAAGTCCTATCAAAATACTAAGCATACAAAAAACGTTTTAATCACTTGAATATCAAAATGTAGGCATGTTATTCACAATTTTATATTTTGTCTTTTAATTTTTTCTTAAAGTCATACATCCATTATGTGATATTTAAAAAAATTATATATATATATATATATATATATGCGATAGTTTAATACAATATACTTATACAGCTGAATAATACTTTCATAAATTAATATTCTAAAATTAATTTGGTTTTAGTTGATTTATATTTCGTTTTAATTAGTTTTAGTTGATTTATATTTCGTTTTATTTTATTTTGTCTCTTTTTTTTTAGAGAAGTGTTTATTTTTTAGACCAAATGTAAATGTTAATAGTCTACATTTTTCAGTGCTTATTATTTATTTAGTCAAATTTGGCAAACATATTTTAAAATTGTATATTGCAATAATAAATTAAGATTTGAGAGAATTTTTTTAAGAAGAGTATAATGTAGTTAACTATTTTCAAATTTTGAATTTTAAAAAATGGTAAAAAAATTAAAGTAATAATAAAAATTAGATTCGCAGTACTTTTTCAAAAAATTACAGTGTTTGTAGTTTTATTTTTATAATTTAAATTAATTTTTAATAATATTTTAAATGTTTTGATTTTGAATGAGAAAGTAGTACGCAGTGGAGTCATATTAATGAAAAGTTTTTGTTGATTTTTTTGTGTGTATTTTTCATTTGCTTCTTCATCATTTTGAAAATGATTAAATAGATAGGAGATTAGATCTGAATAATTTTTAAAAAATATTTCCTTTTCTTGATTACATTTTTCACTGCTTATTATTATTATTATTTGTCAAATTTGGCTAATATATTTTTAAATTGTATATTGCAATAAACAATTAAGATTTACATTATATTATATCAGAACATTTTAACAAAATATTTTAGCAATTTTGAGAAAAAGACAAATTTTAATTTGTGTGATTTTTTTTTTAAAAAAAATGTTTGTGACGTGTAGGTAGTTATCTTTTTATATGTTTGTTAGTTTCAATTTTTTTAAATATAGAATTTACGCTCCGTATAAATTTGATGCAAAGTGCAATTCTAACCATATTACTACTTAATGATCCGTTTTAAAGGGGATATAATTATAACATTATTTTATTTATAAGTAAATTTTGAATGGAAGAATGTTGTCCATGATGAGAAAATAATATTAAATTAGACGTGCACAAATATATATATATATATATATACACACACACACATATATATATATATGTATATTTATTTATTTATTTTTTATTTTTTTGGGCTTTAGCATGGTAACTACATAAATTTACCAGATTCTTGTATTAGAATATTGACTTCAATAACAAATTTCATGTCGATTTTGTTGCTCCACACTTTGGCCTTTTGAGCACTATCATAGTGCTTGTCCAAAATAATCAAGGATGAAAAAGGATAAAGTTACACACCATAAGATTTTTTCCCAAAAAACAATTAAAGTTACAATAAAAATTTAATGAAAATAATTACCTAAGGTATGTCGACATCTCCATTTCTGAATCTTCTCAAGTTTTTCACCATCTTCGTCACTATTCATATTTGTTTTATACTTACAAAACGAAATGGTTATTGTAATCATCAAAAATATTAATACAAAAACAACATAAGTTAGGAACTTCAACCTAAATTTAAATACCAAAAGAACTAATAAATCATATAAAAGGGATCATTTCAATATTTTGTTTTAAAGATGAATAGAAAATGACTAGATTATTTTAAAAAAAATAGCATATGGACAATACAATTATCATATTAGTAATTCATGCACTTAAAGTATTTAAAGATGATGTACATGATTCACTGACATGAAATTCTTCAGAAGTTCTCTGTTTCTCTATCATCAGTTTCTGTAACATCCGACAATTTGAAATAGCTTTGAATAGGCTTAGAATTGGAAATTTTCATTTTTGGAAAGAATTTGAAAATCTGGAAAATTTTGGCCAAGTATGGAAAAATGTGAAATTTTGGTCAACTTTGAACAGCCATATATTCTATCTCAGGATGATTTAGGTGGATTTCCAGTTATGGTTGCAACG